CCCACCGATTGCGGGAGCTTTGCCTGAACTTAAGGGGAGTTCTGGAGGTAGGGACCTGGGAGGTAATCATTGCTTCCCCTCTATAAACCCAGTTATAGCCCCTATCTATATTTCTTTTTATACTTTGAATGAATATATTGCATGCCTTTTACTTTGACTTTATGCTTGACTTTCATGACATAACCAGACAAAATAAAGGAATGTATGCTTAATGCTAGTTTAAGTTAATTGTTTGATTGAAAGCAGATTGTGGGGTTGCAACTGGGAGAATGATGGGAGGAAGGCAGTATTGCATGAGTTTTGATTAGGTCATTAAAGTTGGGAAGTTCCCATAAGTTTTGGGAGACCCAGTGCTGTGTTTATTTTGGATTGCTTGGAGCGTCAGACCATTCCATAAGTTTGGGTGGTCTGGTTGCTCTGGAGGCTGGGAAGTCTCAATAAGTTTGGGGAGACCTAATGCTGTGGAATTGCATGGAGAGTTAGGCCGTTCTATAAGTTTCGGTTGTTGCTTTGACTTTTGAGGGTTAACTGCGATTGACTTTTTAAGAGCCAAACACATTCTGTAAGTTCAGGTGGCTTGGTTGCCTTGTTTACTTGGACGTTCTCTGTTTTCTTTGGTCCTGAACGAGGAGGTCTGAGCCATTCTTTAAGTTTAGGTGGCACGACCTCTTCCTACTTTTATTCCGAGGGAGTAACTTTGGCAGGGGGTCATGCTATTCCATAAGTTTGGGTGGCTTCGACTCCGTGCCACGCAGAGATTGGATAAGAGAGAAACGAATCTGGCGGAGGACCGGACATGTCCCATAAGTTTGGGTGGTCTGGCCCAATCCCTCGCACATGTTGGAACCCGAAGGCTATAATTTGGTTATATTCTACTATTATTTTTATCTATGAACAAGCTAGTCAGGCAGAGTCCCATAAATTTGGGTGACCTGACCATAACCCTATCACGAAGTGGAGAGTTTATGAACTAAGAATAAACTGATGGTAAGAAGGGGCATGCTGGACCTTGAACTAAATTGATCAGCTCAGTCATATGTTGCCTTATAAGACTAAGTCCAGATAATTATATAAAGTTGGGATATTTAAGCACCTTAGGGCAACTAGGGTGACCTAGTCATGTGCCCAAAACAAGAGAGAAGTAGTTGTGCCCTCTGTTTGTCTATATCTTGACTAAGTTAGGCATGTCCCATAAGTTTGGGTGGCCTGACTTTATGCCTTATGTAAGCTGGGTATATAGGGGCAGATCATTGAAAGACTACGAGGTATTGTTTGATAAGGTTAACTTGGGATGGTGAGAGTACTTACCTTTGTGGTTTGGCCTGCGTGTGGCTGAGTGAGGCCTCTACTCAGTCTGAGTTTCAGTTTGATAGGTAGTTGTTTTAGTTACTCGCCACGTGCTAGAGCAATAGGAGTTAGTTCAATTTTGATATTTTCTTAGCTAACTTTATTTTACATAGATCAATTTCTCGTATTTTTTTTGGATCCTTTGTTATACTTGGCTTTGTATAAATTTTGGTAAGTTACTTTCTCTACGGGAAGCGCTGCCGAAATTTCTGCAGATCCAATGAGTTAGTCAAATTTTGACTTTTCAAACTTCAACTTGTCTAAATTGTATATATGGCTTAGTAGAAATTTGGGAAGCCTTTTTTTTTAGAGGGAGTGCTGCCCAAATTTTTGCTAATTCAGGGACTTCAACAAAAATTAGACTTTGGAAAGTTGAAGACTATTCCTGTTTTTATATTTGGGCTAATATAAATTATGGAAAGACACTTTTTCTACGGGAAGCGCTGCCGAAATTTTCTTAGTTTAAAGGAGTCATATTATATTTTGACAGGTGGCGATTTTGACAACCTACCATGAATAGGGGAGGTTTTGTCATGAGTCTACCCTTGCTTGGGCACCGGCTAGAGGTAGACCTAGGCTTAGTTGCAAGATAATTTAGGTGGAAAAGTGCTATGGAGATTCACTTCCCATACACGATGATGTAGCTTGGGGGTTGACCTGTCGTATGATATAAGTCTTCTTTGGACTTTCGATTTAAGATCAGGACTAGATTCAGCTTGATCCTACAAGGATCACCTTTTGTTACCACTGATAACAGGTCGGTTGCCGATTCGTTGGTTTACGAATTTACTTCAATTCACCCCCAATACTCAACCTAAAAGGTTTTAGCATTGGTGATTTTATTGTTTTGTTAAGGTTTCACCCGGACTTTTATTGAATGGCCATTCAACAAAGGTGCGAAGTATTTAATCATGGTTGGTTGGATAGGCGGTTGGGGCTTGCATGAGTAAAGCAAGGGGTATGAGTATAGAGATTGGTTGGAGTTGACTCCGTGTAGTGCATGGTTTTTTTGTTGAATCTTTGATGTGATTGCGGGTATGTTTGGTGATTCAGACAAGGGGTATGAGTATAGAGATTGGTTGGCGTTGACTCCGTGTAGTGAATGGCTTTTTTATTTAATCTTTGATGTGATGGCAGGTAGGTTTGGTGATTCGGACTTTGGATTTGACTGCCTGCGCTCACATACATATATATATGGTTGTGGGGAACCCCACTGTGATTGAGAGGCGGTTAATGATAGGCCCAAAATTCGACGAATTTTTCACCGAAACTGTCATATTTTCCTGAATTTTTACTATTTTCTCAATTTTTCTTTTTGTCTATTATATACAGGGTTGTCGAGCCCCGGCCCCGGGGCCCCGGCGGGGTTCCGGGGTTCCGGGGGTGGGCACCCCCAACCCCGGCTCCAGACCCCCCCGCAAAAAAAAAAAATTAAAAAAATTAAAAAAAAAATCAAAAAAAAAAAAAAACAATAGTGGGGGGTGCGCAGCGAAAGCGCGCACCACATGGGCTAAACCCCAAAAATGGGGTCTTATGCCCCACCTCGGACCCCCCCCGGGGCCACACCCACCACTCGTGGGACCGAGGTAGCTGCTGGTGCGGGGCCGGGGGCGGGACGAACAGCCGGCGGGGGCGGGGTTGAGTGTTGGCGGGGG